CAAAAAAGAAGCTGAAAATTGGTTTTCTAGGCATTAAGAGACTGTTTTCAGCAATATACCAAGCCGAACATGCTCAAAAAAATAATTAAAAGTAGAATTTTGGTGCAGTGACCTGAATGTTTGAGCAGTCTATAAGCTTCTCGAGGTCTTCAGATCGGACAACTTCATGATATACATATCGTCGAATTTGAAGAAGTCTGTGGGATCGATGAGAAAAAACACAATGGGGACAAATACTTGTACAACAATCCAAACAACAAATATTTTTCTCATTTTTCTTTGATGTCTCGTGAATTGAGCATGGCACGAAAAATTTCTTCGCGTAGAGAGCTTCCAACCATGCCGGCTTCTGATAACCCTAATTTCATCACCACATATTATAGGCAAATTCAGATCATACGAAAAAAAAAATAATAATAACAAAGAAACAACGTAAGGAATCAAACAATTGGAATTCAAGATCATGTGTAGGAGAAGAATACTTACCATGATCATATGAAGTTTCTTAGTTATGAAGACAGCACTAGTGCAACCCCAGAGAAAGAGATGCGAGAGAGGATTTAGGGTAAGGAGATTTGTGTATTTATGGAGTATCACAACACAAAGAAGGAAATAAATTAATTCCTAGGAACCATACAAAACATTTTGTAGAGTGTTTTCTATATATATATATATATAGAGGGAGAGAGAAAGAGGGAGAACTTGGGTGCTGTTCACATGTGTCCCATAGCCTTCTTTCTCCATAAACTAAAAATTTTCATCTCCTTGAAACCCTAAATTAAATGAGCTCTTCTTGAATGAGCTGCCTTTACCAATTTCTTTTTCCACAAATTTCCTGTTCTTGATTGATTCTCGTCTCGATAAACATATAGGTAAAACCTAATTAGGCTCTTGAACGCAGAAGATATTTGTCCTGTACGTGGTTTTGATGAAATTATTATTGGAGTCACGCCGAAGATACATATACTTATTTTAGGAGGTGGAATATATGAAATTGATTATGACTTTATCTCTTTTCATATCTATTAATATAGAACTTCTTCATATCTTTTCCTATGTGTTTCTCTCTAGTTAATTTTACCTCAATTAGTATGGGTATAAAAAGTTTAAACTGTCATGGATAAAATTCTATATCGAATAAAGATGAAAAATATTCATCAATTTATAAGGATTTGGGCTGCTCCTCTTAATAAAGTTGACATTTTAAAATGGAACACCAATCCTTAATATAGTATCAGAGCCCATTAAATTTCAACAAGCAATTCGATCCGATTAAAACTAAAAAATGAGTATATGAATTTAAAGATTAGTGTTGTGGTGTGATCCAAATTTCATTTGATTTGAATTTGGTTGTTTGGAAGAAGTCTAAAGAAGTTTGGATTTTGGAGAGTTCTAAATCATGAAGATCAAATTTTATCAAAGATTGAGAGTTTGGCATGAAAAAGAATTTGGAGATGAAGTAAAACACTTTGGAACGGAAAAAAGAAAAAAAAAAAATTCAGGAACCTCGGCGCCGCATCGTTGGGCAAAGTAATGGGGCAGAGAACCCAGTGCTGTAGCATCGGGCTCGAGAGCTGCAGCGACAAGGCATCCGTAGCGTATTCACAACTTCGAGATTTGGGACTTCTCTCTATCTTGGACTCCACTTCATCCACAATTTCGAGATTTGACTTCTATAAATATTCCACAAGGTATAGACACTTCATAAGGTGAAATGCAATACTTAAGAGAGATAATAACAATTAGATTATTGTTGTATACATTAGAGACAACAGATAATTGTTTAGATTAGATTGAGCAGAACAAATCTTGTAAGACAATTATTTGCTTCTTGGTATAATAAATTATCATATTTCACAATTTTCTTGATTTTTGTGTGATCCATTAAATTTTATATTGTCCATATTTTTCGTCTTTAATTATTTGACGGGTTTTTCAACAAGTGATATCTAAATGTTCTTGATACCGTGATGTTTCATAATAATTAGTTTGCTCAAATGAGCAACTATCTTACGAGGGCATGTCAGGGATAAAATTTCTCATCAAATAAAGATGAAAAATATAAACTAATTTTTAAGAGTTTGAACTATTTCTCTTATTAAAATTGATATTTTAAGATGAAATCTCAAGTCTTAACATAAACTCATAAAGTATATACTCTAGTTATTCCTTCACTCAAAATGTTTTGACTAGCTATCTAGTGATTTTATATGCTCAATGTTGATCGCATAAGGCCATGAGCTGAAAAAGGGTTGATATGTAACATGTTAGGAAACTACTATCAATAATCAAAGTCGATCGATAATGTTGAAGCCTGAAAATTTCAATATTACACTTGGTATATTCAAGTATATTCAAATTTTCTGTAGCTTACCTAATTTCTCCCACTCAAAATCCCAAGTTTACCTTGAAGACGAGCATAAAATGTATGGTCACCTTGACGCTAAGTAGGGAATAGAAACAAGAAATTATGAATGGGGAGATTTTTCTGAAAGTATGATAGATGGGAATGAAGAATCCTCTGTTGGCACAAAATTAAGATAGTTTCTTATTTCTCTACGGAGTTTATGACCTTTTGTTGTTTTCATAATGTCAAAAGACAACTTTTAAATTCTTCTCCCCTAGATTTTTTTTTTTTTTTAAATATGATGGCAAGAAATGAGGCTGGCTATACATTGAGAAAATTAATCTTATAGAAATTATTGAAGATGTAATTCTTTTTAATATTACAAAATAATCAGCTACAGGAACCTTGAAAACTATAAGTCAAAGATAAATGAGAAATATTCAAAAATAAAATAAAATGATACAGACTTTATTTACAACATTACTAATAACTATAAAAGTAAAGTGACCTATTATCACAATTTAGCTTCAATGCATTTTATGGATTGTAGTGTACGTGACATTAAAATAGACCGATATATATACTTTAAAATGTAAATAATTTATTCGAATTGACTCAAAGTAATTGAAGGGGGAACAAAAAGGGAAGAACACCAAAAGTATGAATGAACAATGAAAAAGAAACCTCGACTTAATCACATGAAAGTGATAATGCAAAGACAAGACATGTACGAGGAAACTCGGGAAATTAAAGATGGCAACACGAATCCTCAACCACTCCACTAATGGAAAATTCTGCTAAAATTATGGAGAGAATTTTGCCATAAATTTTTGACTGACAAAACACAAAAAACCTACAGCTCAGTAAGCACTACTTAGGAAATTAATGATACGATTTATTTTGACTTTTTTCGGTGCTAATTTTGAGGAAACCTTCGTTTATGGCACCTTTAGGCTTTAACCAAGGGCTAATCTTGGAGTTGGACAAATTTTTTTTATCTTATATTATTCAGTTTATACTTTCAGCACACTAACAAATCGGTGGTCGACACATCACCAAACAATTCAGTTCCCTAGAAATTATTAATTAAATGTGTTTGATTGATTTCAAAATATTACACTTATCCATTTTTTATTAGTGGGTAGATGAGAGAGATTGGATAAACGGGAGAGAAAGAGAGAGTGAATTACCCGGAAAATAAAAAATGCATCTCCCTAAAGAAAACATTTTCCTTGTTTTCAAGGAAAATATGACCACGTGACCAAAAATGGGAAAACATTTTCGTGGAAAAAATTGTAAATCAAACGATACAAAAGTAGAAAATTATGTGGAAAAAATATTTTTTTATGGAAAATATTGACAATCAAACGCACCCTAAATGATTAATTTAAAATAACAAGTCAGAGATGACAGCTAAAAATAAATTAATAATTTAATTTTTTATGATATGGCTGAAACAATTTTTAACACAGTTAATAAATATAATAGACACAGTTATCGCGCTTCAATTAATCATGGGTACTCACCAAATCTATCTTTATTTTCAGGTTTATTTGATCGAGTTATTTCATGTGGTTATCGAAGTCAGGACTACGTATGCTCTAGCTGCCGGAGTTAAATGGCCGACCGATATCCTTGTTACTTTTACCATTCATTGTCTTCAGGTTTTGAAATAGATGGAAAGCACACAAACCGTGCGTTACTATGGGGTTTACTACATCAATCGCGTTTTCAATACTTGGATGTCGGTATGATACAGTACACAGTTCTTCTCTATCACCATAGGCCTACACGAATCGTTGTACGAACAACGTTCATGAATCATTATTCTCCGAGTCCCCAATGCCAAACACGAACACATGGATAAAAATGTTTTCTTTCTTGTAGGGTGTCAATAGAGTCCCTTCGTACTGTCAAGAATATAACGTCAAGTACGAGAATAGGCTAGCAATGTTTCCAACCCTCGATACACAGTTCCGATGACATGAAAATATATCTGAACTGGTTTGTCCTCGTCAATTTGAATACTTGTCCACCAACCAAGATTCATTTCTTTCAGCCTATGATGAAAGTTTGGAAGCTTACCATATGCCTCATCAGATCACCCATGACTCTCTCTAATGCATGCTGTCATACTCCAACAAAAGTGGAAAATTAGTCAGATTCAGAATGCACAATACAGAAAGTGGAGTAGCTCCTAGCACTTTCTTTCCCTTCATCTGGTGTAAGCTAGACCAACATCCGAAGTATGCGAATCCACACTACTTAAGATCCGAGTAATATTCCTTGGCTAGATAACACAGCTTCAGAAGAAAGAATAGAATGCGGCTTCCCATAACTTAATGTTAACTATATGTATTTGTTATGTCATGCAAGATATCAACCGTGTGACACCATGATAGGAAAATTGACAGAAATGGAACAAAAATAAGGTGCTTATTACCATGTATTTCTTCAAATAAAAACACATGGAAAAATTGGTCTGAAACAAGAAAGGATTTTCGTCCAACACTAAATGCACCAAATTTATTCTCAATCATTACGTAAAAATAATTTCCCTATACACAGCATGACAATGTGCTTGTGAATTGTATTGACAACACTATAACAAGATCTCAAACGACAATCAAATTTGGATAAAGCTAGAAAAAGTTCAAGGTTTCTGTGCTGAAAACATGATAAATGATTGCTGAATTGTCCTTGTATAATTGACAAGACCACAAGATCTACACAAGTCCTCAATCTCCTCTTCGGTTAAATAGTTGTAGTCCCTCGTGATCCTCTGTTACACAATAATAAAAAAGCTTCAACATGCATGATGAATGAAATATACAAGACAGATATCGCAATCAACAGCCACTCTACATGGCCAAGGAGATGATAATTTGACTAGTACCAATAAAATGGAGCAGGCCTTTTGCGTGCAGGGAGGGAGGTTACAAAGAAATACCAAATCAATGTTTTCAAGCTTTGAACTTGTTTCCATACATGTTTACTAATCCAAAGATAAATGTTTAGTCTCGTATCAGTCTCTATAATGCCACTGATTCCTAGGATCGAACAGAGGTTCAGGTGAGTTAAATCTCAATTGGGATAAATGTGAACTTTTATGATTCATACTCTAGGGGTAGAATTCTTGGAAGTCGCTGAACATATAAATTTCATCTAGTCACCAAACTTATAATTTGTATCAATGTTTGTCACTCAGTCCACTCCTGTTAGTTAGAAGTCCAACGTGGCCGTTAATCTCCAATAGTATGCTAATGTAGTGTGGAAGTTTGATGACTTGATTGTAACAAAAAAAGTCCAGTAATCCAATTGAGAAAGGAATTACCTGTCTGAAAGGCCTCAATAATGCAGGAGTTGATGAACTGACTCGAAGAAAAGTACTTCCCACAAATACACCACCACTTCGCAATATACGATTGATTTCAGCGACCTGACACATAAGGACAAGAAGAAAAAAAGCACACGTCATTCAATGAAAATTACACATGAGAATTGCATTCCATTCAACATATATGAGATAGCAAACCATGTTACAGGGTTGTAGGGCAAACTACTGAGTAAGGACAAAAGACCATTTTCAGGAAGTAAACATGTACTCCATCTCTTATTTCAGGTTGTTTGGAGGCTTTGTAGTTAAAATAAAAGAAGTATAGTTAAACTGGTTACAAATTGGTTAGATCAGGGGACATGGTAACAATGATCCAATCCAAAGTTAAAAGACCATCAAGGCTATGAAATTCAGTTCAGGCATCAAACTCTGAACATAAATTAATATGCTAAGTTTATCGGGAACGTATCTCGTCATAGCAAGTCGAAGGGTAGGCCAAGCTTACGTCATATTGTGCACACACTCCCCAAACTTGTGTCCAACAAGTCATATAATGTCGCGAAAACATTAAGTAAAGAAATGGATTTCAAGTGCACAAACTTGCCACCTCGTGTATTTTAATATCCAATGGAAAGCCTACATTTTCCAATCTTCCACAGTAATTAAATTCAAATTCAGCATAATTGATAATTCATTTGACTTGTTAGTTTCACATAATTTAGTGAATTATGTTTATTTGTTGTGCATATGCAAAGAGTTTTAGTTATGTTACTCAAGTGGTGCTCTATCCTAGTTTTTCAAGAAATGCCATTTTCATTGTCCACGTCTATACAACTTTTTCGTAAACAGATCAGTAAAGCACAGCACACAAAATAACAGTCATGGAACTATTATTATCAGGTCCTGCAAGAAGTTGAAAACCTGCAAATGTGAAAACTAACCGCATTAGAAGGAGAAGGCCAGCAATGCAAAGCTGCACCAGCATGAACGGCATCAACTGAACCAGATGCAAAGGGAAGTCTCGAAACATCTGCCCTTACAAGTGCAAGATTGCTGAAGATATTCAAAGAGACGGTGGTTAAAGAAATCTAATATGTTCAATTTCAGCAGCACCCAAAGCAATTATAAAGAGAAGAAAACAAAAAACTCACGAGCCTAAGATAGTGACATCATCTTTTATGAAGTCATAACATTGGCGAAGCATATTTTCAGAAAAATCTAGTGCAACAACTCTTGAATAGGCCCCTGATTTGGCAAATTTCCTGGAGAACAAACCACTGCCACAGCTAATGTCCACAAGGACTCCACCCTCTGCTGATTTAAAATACTCCTGAGCCATGTTGAACTGCATAGAATTTTACATTAATTAATTTTTTGGCAACGATCGCTTTATGTGGGCATGTAGACAAGTGGTTAAAATTTGAAGAGAAAATTGAGATGAGGTTTGCCTGTTAAATTACATAAGCAAGCAGATATTTATTGTAGCAAGGATGCATCACAAGAGATGATAAATCAAGAGATATTTTATACATAGGTGATAGCAAGACCCAGATAAAACTTTACCTAATGACTTGTGTGTTTTTACCTGTTTCTTCCATTGAATTTTGTCCCTTCTTAAAGTTTGAAATCATCAAGTTCAGGTCTTGAAATTTTTCATTTTATAGCACTCAGTAACTTTATGGTATTTATATACACGAACAGAAAGCAATAAATTTTACCTCTTCATCAGGGCCAGGAAAACCACTACGGTTAAAATTTTGGCGCCATCCCCTCTCATACACAAATGAAACAAATGGACTCCTGGTAGAAGTAAGAGCATCACCATTAGACTTGAGCAGTTCTCTGTAAAGGAAGATATCTAAAACATATGCAGTCTTAAATCATGTACTTATTCATCATTTGAGCAAACGAGGGCACTAACTTAACAGATGACTGATTTTAATCATAACAGGAACAATAAATTTAAAATTTAGTTAAAAAAAGGAGCTGAATATACATTCAAACATGAAATGGAACCCATCAATCCTAATCTAGAAAGTTTTCCAGAACCACAGAGTCCCAGCAATCGTTTTTATGCTTTACTACGAGACCTCAACTCACTATTGCACACTCAAAGATCATCCTTTCCTTCAGAAAAGGCAGATATGGATTGACGGACAATATCATTACAAATCACATATCTTCTCGTAACTTTGATCTCCAGTCTTATACTTTCTCAAGTCTTCCCAGCAGGCATTGTCATTGCCTCTAAATATCTCAACCCACTTGCTCTACCTCTTCCCCCACCAAATTCCCACCCCTTCTTCCACCATCATCCTGAATATATTGAAGGAAAAAAAGAACCAACTATTTTTCACCTTAGGACTGAGCCTACTGGTAAACTATACATGTCAAAATTGAGGTTTGACTCTTGAAGAAATTTGTCTAAGCTCATACAGATGTAAGGAAATAAGATACATATTTAATTTGATCAACTACTCCAACAAGCCAGTATAAGTGCCCAATGCCTACATTGACCCCAACCAAAATGACGAAAAAACCTGAACGTAAAAAAAATGAAAAGAAGAGTGAAGTTTTTTCTGTCTGGAAAATCAGGATCACAATAACACTTTTTTAAAAAAAATAATAATAATCAAAATAACATGATTTTGATCATGGCAGATTAGAAACTTATCAATATCAGAGGGAATCAAGTGAATATAAATTCTTATATTGAAGTCACTGTAGATTTACCATGAAGATCAATTAGTAGGCCAAGCTAAAGATTGTAATATATATGAGAAGAAGATATGGGGAATTGAAGTTAGCGGGCTAAAGAACATTCACATGCCATTTAGGGAGCATATTAGATCATTTGCTTTTCATCAACGATATTCTCATGTTTAATGGACAGGTAAGGCGCTAAAAAAGAGCCATGGTTTTCCTTGACTTTTGAGAATATTTGTTTTCATTGCTTCTATCCTCTAGTTTCTGAAAAGCAAGAAGCCAGCCCCATAATGCAAAATAACTCTTAATCTCCATACATAATACTATAATACAGATAGCTCTTTTTCCACCTCCAATTATGCCCCTCCATAACCAAACTGAGAAACTTCCCCTTCTCCCGCCTAACACCCAGAAGAGTAGTTAATGTCCTTCAATATTTTTCATGGAAACAAGTCATAATGTCTCCAAGAGGGTGCTGACAATATATAACAGTTATAGCCTGTCCACTAGCCTAAGGCATCTTGAGTCAACAACAAAGATGGCCATGTCCAAAAACTGAGGAAGATTAAACCTACTGTCCCCTACTTATAAATATACTGATTCAACACCATTAAATTTCTACCATATATTCATACTACACATATCATATATACTAATAGATGGCAAGAATCAAATATTGGAAGCTCTAGTCCCTACAATTCCCATCAATGGATCCAATATCTCATGTTTGAATTACTCTTGTTCTTCCTCTCTTATATCTGATATGTTTGTGTAGATGATGGCTTTAGGCTGGATTACTCCCTTCCTTCAAGTGTTTTGCCTTATGCACAAGTAATATTGGTGAAAACATATAAAAAATGTGAGTATATTCTCAGGCATAGTGTTACCCATTCAACATTTTTAACTTCATGTTTTCCACCTCTGTGCGCCTTGCTTCATTGTTGCATTCATAAAATAAAAAATTAATATCTGCTTGATAGCTATTAAATATGGAGGATAAAACAATCACATATGACAGCTACACATCGTGATAAATCTTTAGTATAGAGTTCATATCAAGGATACTATTTGAAATGTGGTCAAATTGGAACTGGGGATGCGAAAAATGCATTCTTTGAGAAAGAAGCATTCAATTATGATCAAGCAAGACTACATCACTATGCTACTTTACAGATTTCATACTTTCAACTCGAAAAGAATTTCATGATGCAATATCATGAAATTGTAATTCTTTTACTATCCAATTCATGGCAAGCTTGTGATAATCAGCAATTTTCTACCTGAAGAGCTCAGTTCCAGCTGGTATAAACTCACTGTATTCCTTTGTCCCAGAAGTAATGGTGAGATCAAGATAGATATTTTTGCTCGAATATGTCTTGTTGCACTTCCTACATTTAAAGCCAGACCTATAGATAGCTGGCCTGCCAACAGTTCACATTCAAATTAAACACATACCAAATCACATAGAACCGACTTTATTATGTGTTTCAAATCCAAACTTACAAGTTAAAACCTGAAGGGCCTTTTCTTATTAGTGGTTCATAACAAATGGGACAAGCAAACAAGTCAACATCTGAAGTATCTTGGGCTTCAGTACCCAATTCCTGAGAAAGCATGAATCAGTACCAGTGAAATATAATTTAACGCTACGACATGGAATAATCATAATAACATAAAATTGAAACATTAAGGAAACTGTAACACGCATCTGAATGCGAAAACAAAGAGGGGTATTTTCTTCTTGTAAAATATGCTCTTTATGCGCATACACACACATGCACAAAATATGCAAATACATGTTCGGCTTAGCTTAAATAAAGCTTTTTCCGACAGTATCACTCTTAATAAAGCAGGAAAAAAACCGGTGTTTTTTTTATTTTGAAGAACAAGCAAGGCAAAACATGCTCATAGAAAGAAAGGGAAGAAAAATTACTGATTCCACAGCAACAGCAGAGCTTGCTCGAATTATTGGGCAATTCCGTACAGAAGAAAAACGGGAAGAGGGACGAAGATGGGAATTTTGAAAAAGACAAATACTTTTTGGGAAGAAAGCAGAATTATGGTGGAATCGAAGTGAAGTCTGAAGAGCAATAGCCATAGTGCCAATTAGATGATTATGATGGGTTTTTTTTACCTTTGTGTTTGATGTGTTTTCTGTGTGATGTATATAGATATATACACAAGCCTATATATATCGGCGTTTTCACCAGAGAGAGGAGAAGTGGAGGAAATTTTTGATGGTTTTGATTCATTTTTTATTAATTTTGTGGACACAGAAAGATTTCATCATGGAGTTTATGAACTTCTGGAGGTGAAAGGGTGGGGTCATTAAATTCTTCTTCTTCTTTTTTTTTTTTTTGGTAATTATTATTATTGATCTCAAAATATTATTATTATTTTCATTTGAGGATATAAATTTGCCACAATATGTTAATTTTCACCATCACAATATTTTTTCCCTTTTTGGCCACGCCATACTACTAACTTCTAAATTATTATTTCTGCTACATTTGTCATCTTTACATTTTAGTACTTGAATGACAATTATTTTTTTATGATAAAAGAGAGAGATGAGAAAGATGATAACTTGTTTTAAATTATCGCGAATTTAACAAATACTTGCGTACTTTGATTCTGAAGATAGATTCTTTGACGTTAAAATAAGGGTGGCAATAAGTTCGAGATGCCTGTTGCTTGGCTTATTTCACCACAAGCCCATTGATCTAGCCGGGCTAACAAGTAAAGAGGAAATTACACTAGACCAAATGTTTAGTTTTAACTTTCTAAAAATCAAGTTTTGACTTTTTTTAATCAAAAATCAGGTATTAATTTTACAATTAATAGTAATAATAATATTTTAAAATTATATTACTCTATATACCCACCCC